CTCAATAKTTGAGATTAATAAAATAACCTATTGGTAATATCTGAAATGGTTATTTGAATGCAATGGCGTTATTTAGCTATATCGGGGATGAAAGTGGAATCATGTACTTTTGATACTCGAATTCTAAACTGACATAAATATGCCTTAATTGCTTCAGATTACAAAGCTGYGATTCCTTGTTTTTCYCGTAATTGCACTTCTACCCCCGAAACTACAGTTCATTGCTCTGCGAACTTCAAAATTTCGATTTTGATTCCTAATGGGCTTTTCCAAAGAAGATGTTGCTTCTGCAGAACAATGCAAAGCGAGGCATTGGCGAGGTCATAAAATTTTCTCGTGTTCACAATAGATGTAGAAAATTGTTGTACAAGCAATAACGTTACGCTTTGATAATCGTATTATATATATATATATTTTTTTTTTTGCGAAGTGTTCGACTACAAAGTCACACGTTTTCAGTTGGAGTCTATTCCTGTCGAACGCTATTAAGACACTGCCTCCACAGTTTTCATAACGAATTATCTTGTGGTATTTTATGAAAAGTTCTCTTCACTCCTTCGATGATAATTCCTGAACAGAGTTGAATACAACTTTTACCCTTTATTTTTTGATTGCTCAGCAATTTTCTTCATCTATTGTGGATACGTGAAAATGTTACGACCTAACAGAAGCCTCTCTTTGGTTCTGCAGAAACAACATCTTGGGAAAAGGCCATTCAATAAATGATTTGTACATCATACAAGAAAAGTGAGCAAAGCATTCTGGTAGTTGTAGCTATGATACCATTGCGTAAATAGACGATTTCTAAAATGCACGTAAGATCTAAAAAATATCGCAGGCGCGAGTTCAAGAAGGAATAGTTCGCATGTTTGCGCCAAGAAACACTTCACATTTATGGGCGTAACAACTTTGAAATCCCGTGTATCTCGAAATCATCTATTTGACTTCAACGCGAGTATATACAAATAATACCCGGTTTAACACGACTAAAAACAGTCATGGGGAACAACACACTGAATAGCATCCTAATAATCAAGCGCCTGCGCCAGCCAGATACATAATCACTCATTACGGCACCTTATATAAAATATACTATCATCTTGTCTTGCATAATCATTGAGTAATAATTCTCACACATTCAAAACACACTCTCATTATAAGCATTATAAACCATCGTACATCACAATGGAAACACTAAAAGGCCTTTCATTGAAGAAYATAGATAACGAAAGCAACATTCAAAACTTTTC